TACCTCTATTTTTACCCCCACACACACACACACACACACACACACACACACACACACACACACACCCCTTTGGAGTATCTACCTAAGAATTCACATTCTGTTTCCCTTCTTTTAGGACATTTAAATTATTTCCTGATTTCCATATTAGTAATACATTCCATTAAGAATGACTTCTAATTACTGTAGGGAGGTACTTGGGCCAGGCTGAAATTCAGCAATTATGTGACAAATCACAGGAAACAATGAGTGGAATGGCAGTGCCAACCCAGGCCTCAGAGACTCGGGACAGGGGAACATAGGAGATTGCACTAGGATATTCTGGTAGAGCTGTGGTAGGAACTCTGAGTGTGTACCTTTAGTGAGACAAAGAGGCAGGTATTGTGGGGACACGGTAGCCCTGTGATGAGCAAGTGAGATCAGGACAAAGTGACATTAAGGGAGGTGGCTAAGGTGGTGGTGGAGGATAGCTAGCTATCAAGGGGTGGAGGCTGGCAGCTAATGAAATTATCATTCTTTGGGTGTCAGAGGGTGGGCCTTGGAGCAAAAGCAGTAAATAGGAAGAGATTGAAGTGAGAACCTTCTAGAAACCCTTCGAGCACTCAGAGTGGTGGGCACAGTGCACAGTTGGGAAACCAAGGGGCTCGTGGCCAGGCTACACTCTTGGAGGACACAGCAAGGTGACGGGGAAGGAGGTAGGGGCTAAGGCTTCCTACATTTCACTGCCTGCTTTTAGATCCCTGGGGCTGAGGGTAGCCTGGAGACTTGGCATGAGCCATCAGTAGAGACCAGAAACCTGGATCAGCACACATGTGTGATGTGGGAAGAGCAGAAGTGTCCCCTCCATCTTAGGGGCTCGAGGAAAGTAGGAATGCCCTCTCTTGCCAGCCAGGGAGACCTGAGGCCTGACCTGAGCAAAACCCAGACTCACTGGCTAGATGGAGGCCATGAACAGTCGGGGAGACAATGACTGAAGTCCAGAGTGACAGAAGTGGAATCCAGTCTCTTCTGCTTCCCTGCTTGTCAACTGCCTCAACGTCATTTGTTACCACCTGACAGTGGTAACAGTACCCGTACCTGCCTAGCAAACCCAAGTGCTGACAGGAGATAAGGGCTCCACCAGGCCTGGCATATATTGGTCACCCAGAAAACTAGAACAATTGTTATACTCCTTGATGCTACGAAAAAGCCCCCAGCCTGCCCCAACTCTAGCCCAGCCACACCAGAGGTATGTGGGGAAACCTCATAGTCTCGGTGACTGCATTGGCTCACTGAGGTCACCTTGTGCATCCTGGAAAGGCCCCAGCCACCAAACTCTGTGAGCTTTGTGTTGTACAGGACCGAGGGGATGGGGTCTTCCATGCTCTCCTCTAGAATACTTGCTGAGCATTGAGAAAACCCTCTAAGAGGCCTCGGACTGGCCTACCATATAGGAAAGCAGCTATGTTCCATGAGAGTTATGTAAGAAGACCATATTAGCAGAGGCAGAAAGAACTGTTGAGAAAAAGCCCAAGCAGAACTCCACTGAGGCAGCCCTTGACATCAGAAGGTGCCAGACCTATCCAGGCACTCTAGCCCAAGGCACTCTAGCCCAAGGCCCTCAGCCCAACTTTGCGTCATAATAAACCAGTGACCTTCTGGCGTGCTATGTGTACATTCCATGCCAAGGCCCAGAGCCTGGAGAGACCGCTCACACATCGCTGAGGGCCAGAGGATTGGCCAGGCTGTGTCTGGTGGGCTTCACGGACTACGGTAAGACTCCGCATAAGTTCTCCTGTTGGTGTCCAGCTCTTCTTCACTGGTACCACACCCATGGCCATGGCAGAAGTGAAATTGTCTGCCCTTGTCAAGCCTGACCAAGGGAAGGCCTTGACGTGGAATTATCCCACTCAGCTTGTGCCTACCTCCTACACCATCCTGGCTAGCCCGGGAAGCCTGCAGAGGAAGGGGAATGTTGTTGGGAGTGATTTGGCTGAGACAAGTTTCTCTGTTAGCTTCCGATGGCTGGACAGTCCCAAGGCACCAGGCATTCATTCACGATTAACCCCAGCACTCCTTTTGGAGCTAAGATGCCACCACCCCCTCCTCCACCATAGACTGAGAGCTTCTCTGGCTGCCTTACAGGCCAACCAGGGGCTGAGGCTGGAGCCCTGTGTTTGGCCTCCTTTCTTCCAGGGGCTCAAAGCACTTTTATAAGCATCCATAGCCTTCATCCACCCCAGCTGTTGTCTTGTTTGCTCTTTATATTCTGTTATTAGCTGAGGTGTTGTGTTTTAATCCTCAGGCACCCAACAAGAGGGAATTCCCCCACGCCAATTGGAAGGAGACAAGGACGCACCCCCAACCCTCCAGCAGCGGCTGGGACTCCAGGCAAGGCAAAGTCCCACACCACAATTGAACTCAGCCCCACTTTTCCCACAGCTGCCTTCCCTGAGAAGCTGCCCCAGTGAGGGTGAACCAGGGAAAGAAAGGTAAGAGCAAATGTGTGTGTCAAGCGTGGAGGCAGAAGCCCGGGGAAGGTCCCTTCACTTCCAAGGGTGAGTGAAACACATGGCCAAGTAGTGAACTGCCAGAGCTAGCAGGAGTCTTTGTACATGCTAGCACTCTGTTTATTCTCTATAGCATCACAGGGTGGGCGAGCTACGCCATGAGATGTCCAGCCCAGGCTTCTGACACTATGCTGAAGAAGAAAACTGGTTTTTGCTTCTCACTGAGCCCTGAGCCTGAGCCCAAAAGAGCAGAGTGGAGAACAGGAGGAGGGAAATGGGTCACAAACTTTGACCCAGGGTCTCAGAGTGGCCTAAATAGAAAGAGGCCTTTGGAAACCCCTGCAGGGGAGCCTAGGTTACCTCAGCCCCTTCACCAACATAGTGCCAGTTGCCCTGAGAAGGGTCCTTTGTCAGCACCCAAAGTTGCCTTCTCCTTGCTCTGCCTGTGGGAAGACCACCCCTCTCCACAGGGGCTAAGCCAGCCCTGCTAGCAGGACAGACCCCCCCCTTATTCTTAAACATGTAATGTTAATGACAACACAAACTGCCCCCACTCCCAGTCCCTCTTCTACAATTCCAAACATCTCCAGGCCCTAGAAAGGTTTCCCCATAACTTATTTAGCAAAAACCTGGCCTAAGCAGACATGAGACTGCCTGTAGACCCCCCCCCCCAACTTTGGGTGAATATTGCATGCTTTCAGGGATAGGTATTCCTGTGTTTGATCATGGCATTGTCCCAACCTTGCTGAATTATATATGACATTAGAACATGTATCGTATTATTTTTCTTAAAGTCTAGAAACAGGACTTCTGAGACACATTTCTGTTGAAACCTGACAAACCTGCCTTCACCAGCCCTGAGCGTTGGGCTCACCAGATACCAGAGGCTATGCTGAACACTCTGCAGGCTTCAGTTCCCTTGACCCCAGCAGCTCTGTTTATTTCCAAATGGTCAATGAAGAAACTGGGGAACCTTACCAGAATCACATTAGTTAACTAAAAGATATTGCCGAATTTGAATCCAAGGACCTGGGGACTTTTGGAGCCAGTTATACCTGCTCCTGCCTACTTGGGGCAAATGGAGACCTCCAGCAGCAGCCCAGAGTGCCAGCTGCTCAGGTTGAGCTTGTCCAGCCCACCCGGGAGGAGCTTAGCACAGAAGTTCCCATGGAAAGTTTGAGATTTCATGAGATTGAAACCAGATAACTCCTCATAAACACTGCCCACCATAAACACAGCACAGGGTCTGGGTATGTGCACACCCTCCCTCCTGTTCCCAGCTTGTTCCAGGGAAGGAAACTGCCCCAGGCTGCATTCAGGCCAGTGGGACAGGAGCTCACGAGCCTTAGACACCAGACAGGCAGGGCTGGGTGGTGGAAAGGAACAAGAGACAGTTCTGTGCTGGGAGAGGAATGTCCTCAACACTTTCCCTGGTGTCATCTGTTTTTGGGTTTCTGAATGAGCAGAGAACTTAGAGAGTGTTCTGCTGCCATGTTTCCCAGTTACTTCTCTGTTCTTTCATTTACTTGTTCCCTCCACAACTCACCATAGACAGTCACGCAGCAAACATTTAGTATACCATGAGTGGAACTGAACCAAATTACCCCTGACCTAGAAATCAAGCCCATTGCTGTTCCTAGAAGGAAGAGACCATTAGGGAAGCCTGAGCCTGGGTTGATCTCTACATGATACTGAGAAGCTAGGGGCTGGAGAAATGGCTCAGTGACCAAGTGCTTGCTGTGCAAGAGTGAGGACCTAGGCCGGGATTCCCAGCATGCATGAAAAGGCTGGGTGCAGTGGCACACACCTGTAACCCCAGTGCTAGGACATGGGGACCAGCAGATCCCGGGGACTCCTTGACCAGTCAGTCTAGCCAAAATGACATTCTTCAGGTTTCGTGAGAGACCCTACCTCCCAACGTGAGACAGAGCTTCGTCTGTTGAAGGTAGTTGAGGTCAACCTCCAGCCCCCATGTGTGCATGCATAGGTGAGCACACTTGCATCTGCACACATGCATGTACACACTACATGCATGCACATACAAAAGAAGTCATCACTGAATTGATAGCAATTGCCAAGACCTACCATTGTAGGTATGTGGGTTTTTCTTTTTTTTAATCATCTGTTTGGAGATAAAGGCAAACATAGTTGCACATAAAATAATACTGTGTCTGGGGCCGTTTTAAAATAACAGAACAGTGAAATGGAAGTGAGCAGGGTGAAGTTCTGATGAAATTCTAAGGTGATTGGTGGGCCCCCAGGGGTCCTGGCACCACCTTCTCCTCTTTGTATGTTTGACCTTTCACAGTATCAAGTGCAAGATAACATGTAGCCTAAGTTTTCCAAGGACCCATGTGACTTTCTTCACTCCCTCCTTAGAAGTCCCTTGGTCCGGGGTACCCTGGATATGGAGATGACTGCTTAGGTACAGAGGCCTCAGGCCAAGGCAGCTCACACTGAGCAACAGTGGCACCCCAGCTGGCACAAGCACTGTTGCTCCTCGTGCCTTCTCATCCCAGTATCCATCCATCTGCTCACTGGTTCCATTTCTTCCTCCAAAATCTCTCTCAGATTCACCGTCCTTAACTTCATCTTCTCTCCTCAGCATTTGTCTAAGATGCCATCCTTTCCCCCAACCCAGTGGCCATCCAGGCCACCTCCTCTCCCCCTCAGTTTCTCACACTCCTTTTCTTCTCAAGTCCACACCAGATCCTCAGAAGTTGAGAGCATCAGATGGATGCTTGGTGCTCAGAACTGGTGATTTAAACACACCAGGTCCCCGCCCTTGGCCTTCCAAGCAGGGACACCAAAACCAAATGCATGGATAGCCCTGCTAGACATTGTGATTATGGACAATACTGTGATGTGCCATCCAGGTGGTGGTGACAGGCCCTAACCATCCTGGTGGCTGTAGATGCCAGCGCCTGTGAAAGCCATGTCTCTGTCGCCAAACCCAGTCCTTTGTAGAGATGACAATTGTGACCTGGGGTGGAGGCAGCTTGGTTCCTCTCAAGTTCCAGAGCTAAGGGCTACAGCTAGGCAGCTAGACTGCAAAAAGAATGTCAGCCTACTCCTTCCAGAGAAATCCCTGACTGATCAGTTCCCCTGGCAGGGGACAGGGCAGAACTAGAAAGGACCCAAGAGGCAAGCCTGCTTCTCCTAGGCCCCTAGTCCCAGCCCATGCCTAGGTAAGTGGAAAAGCATTTCTGTTTAATACTTCAGTCTCCACCCACTGCTTAATGAAGAAAAGGGCTTTTCTGGGCCCCCTCCCCAGCCCCTTAGCCACCACACACAGCTTGAGCAGGCCCCACAGGGCCTTGAAAACCCAGCAATTTGATTTTCCCAGGCCCCTCCTATCCCAAGTAGGGCCCAGAAGGCAGCTCCTCAGTCACGAATCAGCCTGTGCGGCCAGCTCCAAACCTGGGCCTCTTGCCAGGGGTGTTAGAAGGGAAAAGCTGGGTTTCTATGCTGTTCCCTGTGCCTCTGGCTCAGGCCTCACTGCCCTTGCCAATGAGTCTTCCTCACCTCCAAGTCAACCCTGCATCTCATGGTCCAGCTCTGGGCCTGCCTGCCTTCACTGAGCAGCCTCAGAAAGATGATTAGATGAACCCCAAGTTCTGCTGATAGGGTACAGAAGCTGGCTGATGAGAGGACAGACTAGCCAGAGTCAGGGTGGAAAGCTGTTGGGGACATGAGTAGGCAGCAGGGGCCACTTCTGAAATGCTCCTGACATCCAGCACCCTGGGAGTCTGCCCCTACAGTCAGTCAACAATATGGATGTGCCTGCTGCAGCTGAGGTTGAGAATCCCCGCCAAGGATGGAACCGCCCTGCCTGGTTTCCTCCCAGGCTGTCCTGGAGACCACCCAAGTGGACTCTATCTGCTTGAGTTAAGCTAAACTCACTGTCTCCAAGCTGTACAGGTCTTCCTCTCTGGACTACTAAGCCCCAACAGCTGACCATGGCATGCATCAGGGCCACAGGGATTGAGGTGTAAGAATGGATTGGGGCAGAAGATACTGAAGTGGCTCCCACCTGGACTGGTTCCTGAGAACACTGGCTTTGCCTGAACCAAAGGCAAGAGGACTGTTGCCTAGCGCTGCTCTGGCCCACTCTGACCTTGGTGTCTGCTTGGCTCTTCTTTCCATTGCTCCCGTGTTGCTCCTCTCATCAGCACTAAGAGTTCCACTCAAGCTGGCCCCGTGCCTTCCCCTCTGCCTGCTTCCCAGTCTGCATCCTACCTACCATTCTACCTAGGTCCTATCCAGATCCCTAGCTCTCTTGCACTCCATCCTTTGCACGAGTATAAATTTTTCTGGAATATGCATCCTTTTGCCCCAGGTCTGAGTTCCTGATCTGTTGTGGACAGGGCCCTGGGACCAGATTCTAGTACCAGTTGGATGACCTCCAACAACTGAAGCCTTATTAAAGAGGAATATTAAGGCCAATTAATGGGCTGTTTGGTAAAGATTGGATAATATGTGAGTGGCTGTCACATTGGGATATTTGGTAAACATAGTGATCATGCAATGATGTGACCAGGGCAGTGTCCACTGTCCCGTCAGTGTCTCTGCAAGGATGCAGCTCTTTGAGGACTGGATCAACCTTTCTGTCTTCTATCCAGTCCTGTACTCTTCTAGTGCCCAGTGTGACCTGCCCAGGAAGAGGCCCAGTGAGAAACTGGTTCACATGGAAGGAGAAGGGTCCCACTGGGAGGGCCCAAGAGCAATCTCTTACTCAGCTCTGGACAGATCAGATGTGAGGTGATCATGAGGTGCTTTGGTTACTTTGTATTTACAGACAGGAGCTGCCCCTGTCCCGGCCCACATCCTGCCCCCTGACCAGACCCCGCCCATGACCCCACCCCACCCCTGGCCCCACCTGCTATAGGACCTACCCCTTTCTCTGCTTGGTAGAAAAGGAGAGGTGGGGAAAGGGAGGCTGAAGGGGCTCTGTTTCCAGACTTAGGTTGTCTTCCTGTTTCTTTCTGTAGAAGGTGAGCCAAGGCTCAGAACCCTGAGGTGGCCAATGGTAGTAGCACTTGGGATCTTCAGGTCAGGATTCTGGGTGCTGAGGTGCCCAGATTTCCTCATGGCTATCAGGAACCCCCATGCTTAGAGAATCCTATTGCTAACTTTTATAGAACAGGGAAACTTCCCTTCAGGCATTCCAGGTCACCTGTATCTTGGCTGAGTGTGAGGACTCTCACACAGCCCCAGATGCCCTCCCTGAACCTTCCACCCTGAGTCAGAAAAGGCATTATTTCCCCCAGGCCAGCCGAAACTTTGAGTTCTTGGCCTTTTCTGGTTTATCTAGAGGAAGGGAAATGACGTCATGAGGTAAACCACAAGGCTGGGTGCCCCATGAGCTTTGCTTTCCAGCAAAAGTTACTTGTACATGTGGAAGGGACAGGGAGTCTGGGTCACTCTGCTTAGAGATGAGTGGGGTGGCAGCAGGATTTTTAACATGGAACTCCGAGAAAGAAGGGTTCCCAGAGATGTTGGACACAGAGGCCAGGCAGGGTAGACAAATGGGTGATGTGAACACCTTGACTTTTCTATGTGGCAGGTCAACTTCTAGGCAGGGCAGGCTAATGGCTGACTGCTCACAAAGTCCCAAGTTGACCTGTGTAGAATTCCAGATCATATTTACCATGGCATAGGAAGAGCGGCAAGAATAAGAAGCTGGGCAACTCATGCTGCTAATGTCTCTGTTACCTCCTTTCCATGACCTCCTGAGATGGAACCCTGTGAAGAAGGCATTCACCATGCACAAATGAGCAGCAGGAAGCTGGTAACTCCCTGGCCAGGGCTTCCAACTCTACATACAAAGCTTATTTGGAAGCAGGCTGGCAATGTCTGCTTGAGTCCTGTGTGACTGGCCCCCTCTATGAGCACCAGCTCTCGTCTGCTACCTGTCCCCTAGAGAAGCCTGCTGCCCTTGGCAAGTCTGGGCCTTTTAATCCTTCACTCTGCCTCATGGGTGAGTTATTTCCTCTTGTTAATTCTTTCCCTTTATAAGACAAACAGCCCATGGGAAAGAGAGCTCAAAACCCTGTGTTAGAACACAGACTGTGTAGACCACATAGTCCAAGCCCCGCCCTTTACTGGCAGTTGGAGCCACCGAAGGACAAGGATGCAGCTAGGACCACATAGTTAGCAAGGAAGTGAGCAGTCAGGGCTCTGCCCTTGCTATGGGTTTTCCCTTCTCATCACTACTGCCATCTTAGTCTGTTTCCTTAGCCCGTCTTGCTAATAGCATGATAGCGTAGATTATGTTATAAAGAAGAAGCAACTTGCGGCTCATGCTTCTGGTCTAAGATCAAAGTGGCATATCTGAAGATGGCTTTTTTTGCTGGAATAGCCATGAGGTAGCACAGGACATTATGGGGTCAGAGACCTAGCCAAGGTGGCTGATATAAGCAGATTCAACCCTAGCAGTTCTCAGCCTGTATGTCATGACACCTTTTGGCCGTTTCACAGGGGTCGCCTAAGACCATCAGAAACACAGATATTTACATTATGATTCATAACAGTAGCAAAATTACAGTTATAAAGTAAGCACAAAAATAATTTTATGACTGGGGGCTGGTCACTACAACACATGGAACTGTATTGAAGGGCTACAGCATTAGGAAGGTTAAGAACCACTGGTCTTGAGATAATCCATTGATCATGTGGATGATTCTTGAGAGTGGAGCCCTAATTACCCTTAAAGGTCCCATCTCTTACTGTCTTCTAATGCCATTTAAATATCAATGTGAGTTTAAGACAAATAAACCGCATTCAAACAACACAGTCCCATTTATGAAGTCTCCGTCAGTCATTTCTAAGATACAACTAACTCTGAGCAGAGGTAAGCCTGGAGCTGAGGAGTATTATGAGGGGTGAGATGGAGCTGGGGGTGTTCCTCAGAGCCAGAGGCTGCAGCAGACAGTCAGGAAAACACATATTTTGTCATTTTCCCAAGACCAGCTCAATACCTTGGACATAAGAATTAGTCATAAGCAACTGCCTGACCCCAAACCCATGGTTCACTGGGTTGATGTCCCAATGATGGTTTGCTGACTTGTGGCCCAGGATGACACAGGGTCCTGAGGGAGAAGCTAGAGAGCCTACTGGACCAGCTCCATGGTCCACAGTTTCTCTTTCTGTGACGTAGAATTGGGACACACCCTTTTGCCTGGCTGCTGGGACTTCAGAGCAAGGGTGGTGGGAAGGGCTGACAGAGAGGTGGAGTTGTTATGGCTACAGGGCCTGGGATTCTCTCTGTTCCCTAGCTTCTGCATCCTTGACTGCAAAATGAAAAGTCAGCTGGTCTCTGGGCAAGTTCCCAGTCCAAGAGCCAGGCTCTGCCCCAGCTCTTCTTGGGAAGGTTGGGATGGTTTAAGGCAGGCACAGGGGTGAGGCCTGTACCCACTCCTTACTCCAAGATCTTCTAGACTAAGCTTGGAGCCTGCTCACCCTGACTTCCCATCTTTCCAGGACCCCCTGAGACCACACAGCCAGAACCTCAGAGCTCAGCCTCTTGCTTTTTGCTTCATCTGAAAGGAGAGGCTTGAGGCGTGGAAGCTGAACGGCCTCCCAAGTCTGATTTCACTAGCCATCCCTTGTATGTAGTGGGTGAGGCCAAGAGAGGACAAAGGGTTTATCGAAGGCTGCCACGAGGCAAGCCAGAGTTCCGGACTCTTCCCCCAACATCGGCTGCTTCATGCTTGTGCCTGAACAAAGCACTCTCACGGGAGAGCTGGAAGCAGAGGGGCTGGGGAGGATGTCTTCCTTACCATCTCCATCAACATTAATGCCATCCTCACCAGTGTCAGCCGGTCAGACCCTTCAACACGGGTACAGTTCCGTGGATGCTTCCTTGCTTCCTCGTTTGCGAATTCATTGACTCATTCTCCGAGACTGCCGATGAGAAGCAGGCTGCCTGGCTCTCTTGCTAGCCAGTTGTGTGACCTTGAGTGAGTTCCTCTCCATCTGTTTCAGCTCCTTGGCTGTGGAAAGGATACCAAGGTGTTCCTTGGGGTGCTGTTAGGAGGCTTAAATCCAATCACTCCTTCAAAGTGCTGGGAACAGGGCCTCCCACCTACTCAGTACCTAGGCAATACTGTCATTCATTCACTTACTCTGCTCTGCCTGTTTTCCAAGAGATTTGAGATATTTCACATGGGAGCCCATAAAAGAGTATGTGAGGGGGCAGGAGAGATGGCTTAGAGGTTAAGAGCACTGGATACTCTTTCAGAGGACCTGGGTTTAATTCCCAGCACCCACATGGCAGCTCATAACTGCCTGTAACTCCAATTTCAGAGGATCCAATACCTTCACACAGACACACATGCAGGCATCACATGAGGGGATAAAGTATGGAGGGTCTCATTCCATCTCCTCCAGGGGCCCCGAGAAGTGACAGGCCTCTGAATGTGGCCCGAAACCATCCTGTAGACAGATGTCACTTGAGAATTGAGGCCCATATATAGATAACAGTAGTCATACAGACACACAGCACAACAAACCCATCATAAAAAATTCTGAGCCAGGTGGGCATTGGTGGCGCACGCCTTTAATCCCAGCACTCAGGAGGCAGAGGCAGGCGGATCTCTGTGAGTTTGAGGCCAGCCTGGTCTCCAGAGTGAGTGCCAGGATAGGCTCCAAAGATACACAGAGAAACCCTGTCTCAAAAAAACAAAAAAAAGAAAGAAAGAAAGAAAAGAAAAAGAAAAAGAAAGAAAAAAGAAAATTCTGTGTCTATTGTGGGGAACATGTGTTGCCCCCAATTCTTTGGCACCCCGTAGCTCAGGGATTCCATCCTGGGCTCTGATGGGAGTTACCTTCCCTCTTCACAGCTCTCTTCCCAGACCTTGGTCATGATGCTTAGAATGTCTTCCCCAGCAGCCTGGAGCTTTCTGTCATTAGTCTTCAAGGCCTGGTAAGCATTTTACTGCCTGCATTCATCAGTGTAGACAGTAGTGAGAGGCATCTCCTGAGGTCACCTCTCATTGGGTCTCCAAGCATAGCTATGCCTCTCCACTCTGTCTTCCTTATTCCCTGAGTATGCCACTTGGTAAGAGGGAAAATGGGACCAAATAGGATGTGATGATTTGCCATACCAATGTTAGCACATACATGAGTCATGAGAACAGTTTGGCAAAAGGTGTTTTTGAGGGACAATGTAAGACAGTGGTATTCAACCTTCCTATGCCATGACCCTTTAATACAGTTCCTGGTGTTGTGGTGACCCCCCAACCATAAAATTATTTTATTGCTATTTTGTAACTGTAATTTTGTTACTGTTAAAATCTTAATATAAATGTCTGATCTGTGATGCCCAAAGAGGTCATGACCCACAGGTTGAAAACCGCTGGTGTAAGACATGGGTGCGAGGGAAGTCCCAGATGTTCCTTGCACAGGTCCTAAAATGCCAACATCCCTAGAGTGGACACTAGGGCAAGACAGTTCCATTTGGTTTGAGGCTTGGTCTTGACTGGTGGGTAGAGCGTGTCCAGTGCCCCCCAGTTTCTGTCCCTGTCACCTCTTAGCTGATTGTTCTAGCCTTCTTCCTACTCATGGCTCAGCCCTCTAGTGACCCTGCACACCTATTCTTCAGCTGTTTCCCACAGAACACATTGGCAGCTTTCTCCAGACAGATAAGCAGTGATGTCTCCCCCTGGTCAGAGTGTCAGTGACTCTCAACAGCCATGGCAAACAGAAGACGCTTGGGCCTTTCGGGACCCAGGCCCCCACTTCCAGGCCTTGCCCTCCCTCTCCAATCCTGGAGACACAGCCCAACATCTTCAGGAGCCCCACTCCTCCACAAGGGCTTGTCTGACTATGGGATTGCAGTGGCGGTGTGTTCTCAGATGCTGTGCGTTCTCGTGCTAGGAAAACAGCCTTGGGAACCAGATGGGTAAGTTGCATGAAGCTAAAATGGAGCAGTGACTGCCTGAAGTCTGGAAGAGAGAATTTTAGACAAAGACAAGGGAGCTGGCCCTTTGACAACAGAGCAGAGGCTGGGTTGATGCATGTGCCAGTCAGGTATTTGCAATGTGCTGACCCCAGCCAGAAGCTAGGAGAGAACAGGGTATGGTCTTTTCTCAGAGCCTCCAAAAGGAACCAGCCTACCAAGGCCCATGGGAGACCTGGATTCCTGATGCTGTAACCCTGGATTCTCTGGCAGCTCTACTAGCCTCCTTAGTTACCTAGGCCAACCAAGTCTCTACCTTTCCTTAAGCTGTTTCTACCAGGGTCCTTTCTCATTCAACTGGGAGAGGCCAACATGATAACAGATTTAAAGTGTATTGCTTAGTACCTGGCTGGTGATGAGCCATCTCTAAATGGCAGTTATGATTGCTTTATTCCAACTCTAGAGCAAGGGCCCTGTCACAGGTTGTGTTCCTTGGGGAGTAGACTCTCAGAGGGAGAGGCTTAGGTTAAACCTCTATGGACAGGGGCAAAGATACAGCATAGGACAAAGGGATGCTGATCTGAGATTGGGCCCATTGGGAATTCTGCAACTCGAATTGCTCTGTACAGTCTTGCCATGCTGGGCCAAGGTTGCTGGGCCTTTCTGTGATCACAGCCTTCGGCCCTTGAACCTGCACCACCTGAGAAGAGGTGAGGCTCTAGGAGAGGCTCCTCCCTACAGCTAAAGTTGTTCCTGGAAGGACAGACAGCAGATCAGGCACACTCTCAGTAATATGTCCTTCCCAAAGGTGACCCAGGAGAGACATGGTGGCTCCTGTCACACCTATATATTCAACATGTAGTGTGAAAACATTCATCATTCAAAACCTAGAGTTGATGGTGGCAAAGCCCAGTGACCCAGGTGGTCTCAGTTAAGGAAGTCTTTCAGACATGATGCCCTAGTGGTGGATGGAGATGGAGTCAGAGTAGAAGGACACACCTCAGCAGGGCTGGACAAGAGGTAGTCGTGTGAGGTGTGACCAGGTGTGGTGGCTTGGCTCCTCAGTTGTCTGAATGAGTTAGTAGGTAAGCAGGGCACTGTCTATGGCTGTTTCTGTTGCTTCTCTTCTCCATAAAGGCAAGCTCTTGAAGCTCTGCCATTTGTTTTTCTCTGCTAAGTAGCTCTCTGTACACATAGGGTAGAGTCTTCCAATTGGATAACCCTTCAGAGTCTCCCCCTTTTTTTAGTGCTTTGTTTCCCAGGGTTTTTCTTCCTCTAGCCCTGGTATCTCTACATCCCAGGCCAGAATAAAAGCCTCCTGTACACACTGCACACAGTTAGGACCTACTTGTGTGCTTCACTAACCCTAGCCAGGACAGCTGATGGCCTGGCTCTATCGCAAAGCCAGGCCTGCCTGCCTTATCAGGTGAGATCCAGGGCTTAGAGAGAGGAATCTGGTTGTTCAAACAACAGTAGGTGGTTGACACAGGAAGTGGGACCTACCCCCCACCCACCCTGGGCCTTCCCTGGGCACAATGCAAACCCCCCAACGAAGCCAGGTTCATTTCTCTAAGGAGCATCTGGGTTCACACACAGGGTTTTCCCCAACATAGAACTGGAGAGAAACAGGCTGCCAGAGACAAAGGGATGAGGAGGATGACTTGGCATGAATGAAGCAGCCCTGTCTCTGGGACTACTTGGTCCTATCTTGTACTCCTTCTCCAATTACAGGTGATAAAAAAAAAAATGGAGTCCCCAAAGTGAGGCAGTGCATCAGTAATTTCTCCATGGGGGTCAAGTCCAGGTTGGCTGCCCTATCTTTCTATCAATTATTTTCCCTAAACTTGCTTTATTCCCTGAGTTTATGTGGAGCCCCTTAAGAGCTATCTTATTGTGTCTGGGTTCTAAAAGGTCTTCCAGCCCTGGCTTTCTTACCTCAAGTAGACCTTGGGCAACCTAAGGGCAGATTGCTAGGAGAGATGCTGTGATTAGCAGGAGAGTCACTTTACTTGTGCCCTTTTGTTTCCTGTAGCCAGTCCGCTGGTGAAACAAGCACTTCCATGGAGGTCATTCCGCTTTGAACGTTTCTAGAAGGGACGAGTGTGCAGAGAAGGACTGAAAGGTGGCAGGCAACTGTGTGTGCGCCAGATGCCTGCCTGATAAAGGGGAAAGGGTGGGAAGGGGGCTTAACGGGGAAGCTAGGTGAGGCTGGGGTTCTCATGCTGTGAAGAGGGGAAAGCATGTGGGAATTCCCCCAATGGTGTAGCAAAACAAGCACCTTAACCTAAATGTGCTCTGTGCCATGTCATCCTTTCCATTTATGCTGCAGTGAGGACTTCCACCCAGTACTCCCTCCAGGAAGAGGACAGAGAAGAGACAGATGCCATGCCTAGGTTACAAGCTAGCCCAGAAGGGAAAAGGCAAATGTAATACATGAAAATAGAAGAGGCTTAGAACTTAAACCCTGCAGCTCTGGGAAGGAGGGAAGGAAATCCTGTACGCTTCTCCTCCTGGTGTTCCAAGCTGGGCATGCCTTGACCTTGGGAGAGCTAGGTAGCACTCGGTCACACCTCATACCTCCATTTTCTGATTGAATCCTTTTCTTGTCATTATTGCTATTTTCTACCAGGGACTCAGAGCTGCATAAAGGGTAATGCACGAGGCCCCCAATAGTTTAATGGTCAAGTATCCCAGGGTCTAATCTGTGCCTCCCAAATGCCTTCTATTACATTCTGACATCTAGGGATACTGGGTTCACCCAGCATTGATTATTTGTGAATTGTATCTGAGGAGTGTTGAGAAAAAGCACTGGGCTCCAGAGACCTGGGTTCAAATCCTGCTCTGGCACTCACCCCACCCCTTATATTAGGAAGGCTAAAGACTCAGAACTTCCATTTCCTTGCCCGTAAAGTGGGTGTTGAGCTAGACACTGAGAGAATGGCAATATCATTGTCAGTGTTGCTTGTCCTCCAGAGTCCTAGAGCGGTGGCCTCTGCCTGGCAAATTTCTCTGCTGTGGGCAGCCCCACCCTTCCTGCTCTCCTCTCTGTTCCTCCCCAGTTCAGTAATAGGCTACTTTTAGGACAAGCATTCAGCCTGGCTTGTTCCATGAGCACTATCCCTTGAGCTGTGATAGCCCTACCCTCAAACAGGGGAGCCCCTGCAAAGACCCTGGAAAAGGCCAGTGACCAGGGGTCCCTTTGGGACTAGGACCATGGCCGGAAATGGGTTGGATGGTGGCCTGTGGCAGTGGCTGGCTGGGTGGCTTAGTTCCCAGTTTAAATGGGGAACTGCTGAGACTACCCACTTAACCACAAACAAGGGCCCCAGCCTTTCCTCATGCCTCTGCCTCTGAACTCCAGTGTCTGCACTGTATTCCTGGACCTGCTGGTATGGGTGGGAAACCCTTCTCCCAGCTCCTCTCCAGCCTATTCCTCCGTCTGAGCCATGAAGCTCCAGTTTCTAGCTGGTGTCAGTTCTCTGCCCCTTGGATCTGTTCAGCCTCTGAGAAGTTACCAACCAGGGACTCAGAACACTGGCACTCAGTGTTCCTAGACACCAGGCACTGGTGAAGTTTGCCATAATCATATAATTACTGACCCATTTCATAGATGAGGCCCAGGTTTGTCCAAGGCCAGGCAGCTGATTGGTGAGCCACTGACATTTCAGCAGGATCCAGCTGTCCTCAAAGGCTGCTCCAAGGACTTGGAAGGGAGAAAATGAGAGGGAAAAAAGGAAAGGATATAATGGCTTTTGCCCATGTGCAGAATGCAGCAACTTCTGCCTAGAACTGCCTTTTATCTCTGCTGGAGGAACATTTAATTGCTTCCTACAAATAATAACAAAACACTGTACAGTGCTAGGCTTGTTCTATGCCGGGTACTAAGTACTTCACATCTCTGAGCTGGTCACAGGGTGGGGCTCAGCAGCACTGTCCTCCCTCGGAGGTTCCAGCCACCCTGAGCACTGGTCCCCATCATCCCATACTGGCCTCCAAACATGACCTCTCTTGCCTTGATGCAGACATCTTTTCTGCCTCTAGCAATGGAGGCCTTTGACCCCAGTAGGCTACTCATCAAGCATCCTGATCTCCAGTTTTGTGACCTCTATAATCTCAACTGAAATCACCTCTCCTTCAGCAAGTTGCATTGCAGGCAGGAATCTTGGCTTCCCCTTGGAGAGCTCCCTTCTTAAAGTTCCCTTGGACTACAGTTTTTTGTTTGTTTGTTTGTTTAAAATAAAGTACGAACTGGGTATGGCAACTCACACTTGTAATTCTAGTACTTGGAGGCTGAGGCAGGGCTATTACTGTGAGTTCTAGGCTGGCCAGGGCTAAGGTAAGATCCTGAATCAAAATGATAATAATTATCACCTCCAAAAGTCCAACATTTATACCAACATTTCTTACTTTTTTTGTGCCCTTTCCAACACACACACACACACACACACACACACACACACACACACCACAGGGACATGTACCTGGGAAGATGCCAGTGAGTAAGAGTGCTCGCTGGGCAAGCACAAGGACCCGAGTTCCAACCCTGGCACCTGTGTAAAAAGCTGGGCGTAGTTGCATGCCCATGCCCCTGTAACCCTGGGGCTGTGGGAGTCCAGACAGGAGGATTGCTGGGGCGTGCTGGCTGACAGCCAAGCTCCACTTTCAGTCAGAAACCCTATCCAAAGAGAATAAGATGGAGTTGACAGAGTGGAACACCTGATGTCCTCCTCTGCCCTCTATGTGCAGGACACACACACACACACATGCCACCTGTCCACACATGAGCGTGAGAAGATTGAAACTGGATGCTGCTCTAGCAGAATTAAAAAATACCTATGTCAAACCAATAGGCAGCATCCCATGAGATGCTGAAACACTAGGACATTATCAGACATAAGATGATTCCAAGGGGCCTGGAGAGCTGGCTCAGCAGGTAAGAGAACTGGCTGCTCTTCCAAAGCACCCAGGGTTCAATTCCCAGCACCCACATGGCAGCTCACAGCTGTCGATAACTCCAGTTCTGGGATCCAACATCCTCACACAGGCATGCGGGCAAGCAAAACACCAATGCACATTTTAAAAAATTAAATTAAAGAAGATGCCAGGATCTTCTACTGTTACTTCACATTACAGTATTCCAGAACTGGTGACTAGTAGCAGGTGCCAAGAGACAATGACACCCAACAAAAACAAGCCAACAGGTGTCCAGATCACAGTTTGTATATGCCATTCTCTGCAAAAGGTACTGGGGTTCACTCAGGAATCTGATGGAGGAGGATTGCCATGCGTTTGAAGCTAGCTTAAACTTACATAGTGAGTTCAGGCCAGCCTTTGAGAGAGGAAGGAAGGAAAGAAGGGAGGGAGGGGGAGGGGGGAAGCCTCTTAACCTCTTTTTGTGCCAGACAATGAGGAAATACTCAAAGAATTGACGTCAAAATGACACAAATAAATCTGATTGGGTTCCCACTGGCTAAATCTAGGACAATTTGTGTATCAGCATAAATAGCTGTATTAATAAACTATAACATTTTGGTTAAGATAGGAATTTGTGGGTCTATGCATTTCTTATAATAGGGTGCCAGTGGATGGATGGATGGATGGATGGATGGATTGATGGATACATGGATGGGTGGGTGAATGGGTGGGTGGGTGGGTGGATGGGTGGATGAGGATGGGTGGATGGATGGATGTGTGGGTGGAAGGAGAGCGAATGATAGACATGGATGATCTTCATTTGGTAACTACTGTGGTGGATGATGAAGGCTGAAGTCATCAAAGGATATAAGGGTAGTGGGTGGAGATTTGGTGAAGGACAGAGTATTGGTACTGTCTTGCAGTTTCTCCTCACCACACAGTTATCAAATTCAAAGCAAAACATGGTGAGTGTGTGATGTGGAAACCTGGCAGGCACCAACTTGACCCAGTGGCAGGATGAGTTGTTAGAGAGAGCTCCGTCATGCCTGTGAGAAGCAGTGTCTTTGCATAGCATTCTTGACAAGAGTGAATGGCCTGAGAGTAGACATGCAAACACAGGTTGGAAACCATCCAACAAAATGATGCCCTGCACTTTTTAACATTGTCACCAGACATGTGACACATTCCTGTAATCCAGCACTTGCATGGCAGAGGCAGGAGGGTCACTAAAAGAATGAGGTCAGCTTGGGGCAACATGGCAAGTTTTAGATTAGTCAGAACGGCATAGTAAGACCCTGACTCAGAAAGACAAAAAGAAACATGACTGTCAGGGTGATGGTGATAGGGAAAGACTGAAGATCTGTCTCAGATTGAAGGGAACTAACGAGGCATGACAGCTAAATGCAACTGGCAACCCTGACGTGGATCCTGAACCAGAAAGGCGGATGGAGCATTGCTGGGAAAGCTGAAGGCATTTGCATGTGGTCCAAGAATTGGATGACACTGTTAAATTGATTTTGATTTCCTAATTTGGAGTGTTGAATAGAGATAATGAGAAGAAGGTGTTTTTTGGAGGAAATAAAAACTGGATTATTTAGGGCAGTGGTTCTCAACCTATGGGTTTTACCCCTTGGGTAGTTGAGCAGCCTTTTCACAGGGGTCGAATATCAGATAGCCTGCACATGAGATGTTTACATTACAATTCATACCAGTAGCAAAATTACAGTTATGAAGTAGTAATGAAGAGAAATGTGTCTCTGGAGATAACAGTGCTTGCTCTGGCACTACCTTAAGACATAGCCCAGCTTCCAGCTCTCAGAATTTGATGCACCAGTTGATAGCACATTGGTAGCTTGAAAGCAATCATGGGAAAAGGGCACCATGGAAACGGCCAAATGCTAGACCAGGTGACTGTGGGGGTGTGTATTTTTGTTGTTGTTGTTTTGAAAGTTGGCTAAATAATCTCACTAGCATGCCACTGAACATCAATGTCTCCCATCCAATGCTCTGACATCTATCTAGAGCAGTGGTTCTCATCCTGTGGGTCACTACCCCTTTGGGGTCATATATCAGATATTTACCCTGATTATGATTCCAGGGAGGCCAAGGTGGCTCCCTTTGCACAGCCATGCTCAGCAGCTTCTAGAAGGCGCGTTCTTCCCCTCTCCCAGCAGATCAGATATTATGATTCCTAACAGTAACAAAATTACAGATATGAAGTAGCAACAAAATAATGATGGTTGGGGGTCACCACAGCATGAAGAACTGTATTAAAGGGTCACAGCATTAGGAAGATTGAGAACCAGTGATCTAGAGAGTAGGCCAAGAACGGAAAGCCTAGAGTGATCTAACAAGACGAGCCTGGTAGAGACTCACACTCTTCGACCAGATCTGTTCTTGAATAGTCTTGCAGCTGATTACAGTATGGCACTAAATTTACTTCGTATAGTTAGGATTATAATTCTGTATGCAAATAAGTACAGCCCATGTTCAAAGTCCCACCTCTAGGATGCTTTTTTTTCCCAAAAAAACCTTAATCATAGTATCCACATTGCACAGCACCATGGAGCCAACCACAGACATCAGGAGCCCCTGATGGTCTCCAAGAGGCAAGAAGCATCTCCAGAGTGGGTGGACAACTGCTTGTGCTCTCAGCCTTCCTTGGCACCAATAGCCTGGCACCTGTCCTTCTTCTTGTCCATCCTGTAACCACAGGTCTCTCCCCGGACTTGGATGACCCTGTAGAGATCACCTGCAAGGCTGGCCTTGGGTCACCCAAGTTTGAATTTGACCTCATAGACAGGTGACCAGCAGGGTTTGAGGAGGAATGGGAGTCTGCTCTCACCCTCCTCCCGTGTCTCCCAGTGAAGACTTTTGCTGTCCAGCTGGCTTAGACATGGGTCACCCTGAGTTCTCTTTGAGGAAAGTTCATCAAGAAAAATAGAATCAGAGAAACAGGTTTGAAAAAGCTCTTGCTCCGAACCCCTCCATAGCTCTGCAATCAAGGACCCTGGTGACCCAGCTAAAGGAGATGGCCTAAGTATAGCCCGAACAGTGTGGGTGCAAGGACCAGGCCATAGTAAATTCTAGGAACACTGGGATGTCTCTTAGCCCTTCTGCCCTCTTGTGACTTGACTTCTGTCTGTGCCTTAAGTTTCCCATATGTGAAATGGAGCTGATCATCCTCAAAACACCCCTGCAAGGTACTAATTACTGTCTGTAAAAGGCTTTGAGATCCTTGGATAGAATATAACAGGACTAATAGTGGATAATAACACTCTGTCCGTCCCCCAGCCCTTTCATCCACGGATCTCAAAGCCTTTTACAAACCTTAATTAATTCTCACAACACCCAAATGCAGGAGGCTGGTGGTCATTAGTTCCATTTTACTGGTGGGGAAACTGAGGGAAGCCGGGAGGCTGGCTTGAGGCCACACAATAAGCTGGTAGCTGATGAGGGTTAGAACTCACAGCCCCCGGCCCCTGGGTAGGGCTCAGACAACAGGACTTCCGTCCCGCCCAGCAGTCAGCATGGAGACTGGGGGACTGGGTGATGCTAGGGGAGCATGGCAAAGGCAGGCAGAACTCTGTGACATTGAGGCCAGCCTGGTCTACAGAGCGAGTTCCAGGACAGCCAGGGTTGACAACACAGAGAAACCCTGTCTTGAAAGCCCCCCCCCCCAAAAAAAAGACTCAGGGACGTAGACATTGGTCCACAAACTAGGGTTTGCTAGCCTGACCTGGCAGTTTGAGGAGAGAACTAACATTTATAGGATACCTAGTGTGTGCTGATCCCTAAGAGCCTAAGATTTAGTCATTCATTTATTTATTTTATTGGTCATTTGGTCTAAATCCCACCTGTGAAGATAGGCGTATGGTCCCATTTCACAGAGGAGCCTGGCTCATTGAAGATATTACCACTCAGACTCACTTGTTTCTGCCTTCATGGCCACTAGACATCCAGGCAATGGGAGGAGGCGTCATCAGCCATTATTTAAAAGATAGAGAAACTGAGGTACACAGAAGAGAACCAGTTTCCTTGATGATGGGACTGTGGCCAAGCCACTGTTCTTAAATGACCTCTTTCTCCCTTCCCCAGCCCCTGACTCCCTCCCAACCCCACGTGAGGTCAAGTGAGATCATGTCAGGAAGGGTTTTGAAGTGCCCAGAAGCAGTGTCTCTGGTCCTCCTTGGGGGGAAGATGAAGAGAGGAGCCTTGCCATGGGTTCCGTGCCATCTCATGGGGAAGTTCTCAGAATATTGGAAGCAACAGGGTCATCTAGGCACAGGAACATCATGGGCTTACCCGAAAGCTTTGGGGGGCAGCTTCCTGTGTCCTGCTTGTGGGCCTATCTAGGTCAGAGGGGTGAGTGAGTGGAGT